GGTCTTTCCTTTAGTTAACACTCATATATTAGATATGATCAATATATCCTTATTAACAGGCTATGTACCACAGTCTTTTTAGGTAGCTGTAATTAAACCTCTCCTAAAAAAGCCCACCCTGGATCAAGAGGTGTTAGCCAACTATAGACCATTATCTAATCTTCCCTTTATGTCAAAGATCCTTGAGAAAGTAGTCGCAGTCCAGCTGTGTGATTTTCTCCATGATAATAATTTATTTGAGGAATTTCAGTCAGGATTTAGAGTGCATCATAGCACTGAGACAGCACTAGTTAAAATTACAAATGACCTTCTGATTGCTTCAGACAAAGGACTCTTCTCTGTACTTGTTTTATTAGATCTTAGTGCGGCGTTTGACACTATTGACCATCAAATTCTACTGCAGAGACTGGATCACTTAATTTGCCTAAAAGGTACTGCACTGAACTGGTTTAAATCTTATTTATCTGATCGTTTTCAGTTTGTTCACGTTCATAATGAGTCATCCTTATGTACTAAAGTTTGTTTTGGAGTTCCACAAGGTTCTGTGCTCGGATCAATTCTATTCCCTTTATGATGCTTCCCTTAGGGAACATCATTAGAAATCACTCTATAAATTTCCATTGTTATGCGGATGATACTCAGTTGTATTTATCGATAAAGCCAGAAGAAAGTAATCAATTAACTAAACTTCAAAAATGCCTCAAGACATAAAACCTGGATGAGCACCAATTTCCTGATGTTAAATTCGGACAAAACTGAAGTTATTGTTCTTGGCCCCAAACAACTCAGAGACTCTTTATCTGATGACATAGTTTCTCTAGATGGCATTGCTCTGGCCTCTAGCACTACCGTAAGAAATAATATTTGATCAAGATTTGTCTTTTAATTCTCATTTAAAACAAACCTCACGGACTGCATTTTTTTCATCTGCGTAATATTGCAAAAATTAGGCCTATCCTGACCAAAAAAGATGCAGAAAATTGGTCCACGCTTTTGTTACCTCTAGGCTGGATTACTGTAACTCTCTATTATCAGGTAGCTCTAATAAGTCTTTAAAAACTCTGCAGCTAAATCAAAACGCACCGGCACGTGTGCTGACACAAACTAAGAAACAAGATCACATTTCTCCTGTTTTAGCTTCTCTGCACTGGCTCCCTGTAAAATCCAGAATTGAATTTAAAATCCTACTGTTAACTTATAAAGCTTTAAATGTTCAGGCTCCGTCATATCTTAGTGAGCTCATAGTGCCATATTATCCCACCAGAACACCTTGCTCTGAGAACGCAGGGTTACTCGTGGTCCCTAAAGTCTCCAAAAGCAGATCAGGAGCCAGAGCCTTCAGCTATCAGGCTCCTCTCCTGTGGAATCATCTTCCTGTTACGGTCCGGGAGGCAGACACCGTCTCCACATTTAAGACTAGACTTAAGACTTTCCTCTTTGATAAAGCTTATAGTTAGGGCTGGCTCAGGCTTGCCCTGTACCAGCCCCTAGTTAGGCTGACTTAGGCCTAGTCTGCCAGGGGATCTCCTATAATACACCGGGCACCTTCTCTCCTTCTCTCTCTTTCTCTCCTTTGCCAACACTAATGTCATGTTACTGCATGTCACTAACTGGGCTATTAACATATACCTACAACGTGTTGTACCACAATAGCTGTAATTATTATAATATTATTACTTAAATTAATGTTGTTGTAAGCTACTGTCATTACTGTCTATCCTGCATCTCTCTCTGTCTCTGTCTCTCTTTTCTGTCTCATTGTGTCATATGGATTACTGTACATTTATGATGTTGATCTGTTCTGTACGACATCTATTGCATGTCTGTCCGTCCTGGATCCATTCTGGCATTTTTATACCACATGTATTTATTAATGTGTTCTGTCCCTTCTTACATAAACTAAATATTAATAACTGATATTGTCACCAGAGCTTCGTCAGTTTCTTATTTGTCACTCTATAACTACTATAAATAATATAACTATTTTAATTCATTCTAAAGTTTATTTTTTCAGCACACACAGAAACAAACTGTTTAATATTCTCTGGGATGTTTTTGACATTTAGGAAAACAATCAATCAAATAATGGAGAGAATAACCACCAGATTAACGGTTAACTGTCGCTCTGTCTGAACCCCCAGTGCTTTTATTGTGAAGGTCAGTTTTACTGAGCAACATCCTCCGCACATGAAACCTGTTACAGGTGACCGAGGTGTCAGCTGAGGTCAGTCACAGGCTGTGTGGGGTCATAGCGCTGTGGGTCCTGTCTGTAAGTTAAGTGAAGCGGAAACACTGAAAGCAGCCGACGTGAAAGTTTCCAAAATAAAATCCACACTCACAAAGTGACTGGAGTCTGACATCACCACGGTCAGCCTGTTCAGCACTCTGATTGGACGGGACCGACCCTGAGACAGACAGAGACACGTTACCATGACGACGACACAAACAGTCACCATCATCCTCATCTTCATCAGACCCACCTGTACGACCGGCAGCTGATCGATCAGCTCATTGATCGGTTTGGGGACAGGGATCTCCTGCAAACAGGAAGTAAAGACAGAGTTACAAAATAAAAGTGACACTGATGGTGGATCCATGATTCAGATTGCCTGTAAAATACCAACAACTGTGACAACTCACACTCATGTCTTCAGACTTCTATTAATCACATCAAACATTAACTGACATCATTTTAAATTTAATGCCGAGCTGACTGACCTGTTTCTTTTTGACCGTCGGTTCGAACACGTAGTTGATGGCGACTGTGGAGAAACCGACTGCAGGAAGAAGACGACACAGACTCACAGCTAAAAGTCACATCATCACAAAACTCATCATCTTCATCTTAATATTGACCACTGATCATCCCTGTGTCAAATCATTTTAATATCATTATTGTTCTGACAAGTTTTTACCATCTACAGTTTGTTGATTTATTTGTGTTGCTTACATTACATTTGGATCCTCAGGACTACATTATAATTTAATAAATTAGCTATATGTATTTATATGTTTATCAACTTAGGTTTTATTTTAACATTTCAATGTTTTAAATGTTTTCAGACGTCCTGTTCTTTGACCAGCAACAGGGGAACTTTAAAATGACAACTTTTTGAATGGAGTTTGGTGAAGAGGTTTCAGCAGGTTCCCTGAGCTCATTAATCAATGAACTGTTTTCACTCATTAAATCTATCATAAACTGATTAATTAATCAATCTGATTACCTGCAGACTAAACAGACCAACACATCACCTGCACTGTTTATCTATTTCAATCAGGTCTGGTGGTATTTTTACCTTCTAGAACACTAAGACCTTATATAAAATATTAGGTTTATTAAATTAATTTGGAATTTATAGGTTCATGTTGATGGACGAATTTGTCGCGGGATCATATTTGTTTTCAGGATGTCTTCAGTTATAACTTATTTCAATTCTATATTTATTAATAACAATGGAAACTTTAAATGGAGCGATTTTCAAACGGACTCTGGTCTGATGGTTTGTTACCTGTCTGCAGGTAGAAACAGATTCTTTAAACAAACCTGTAACGTAATGAACGAATAAATATATAGTACATTAATAAGCCAACGTGTTTACTGACAGTAATCACGTGACACGGGTGGTTTCATCAGGACGCAGTGAAACTTTAAAATGACAACTTTTCAAACGGAGTCTGGTCCAGAGTGTGTCGGTAGTTTGTAGCTCTATCATTGTATTTAACGGTGAGATAAGCACCAGTCTGATGCAGCAGGTGAGTCATCACCTGTTACAGAACAACCTGAACCCAAACAGACCCCATAATACTCAGAGCTTAGCTCCGGTGCTAGCTGTTAGCTCCCGGCCCTGTGGACTCTGACTGCCCGCTGAGGAGCTGCTGTCTGCGGGGTGAAGCTGAGGAGACTCACGGTGAGCTGCGGTCTGGATCAGACTCTGCAGGCGGGTCTGATCCGCCGTGTAGTTCAGGTTCAGATCCATAAACACAGACATGATGCTGCTGCTGCTGCTGCTGCTGCTGCACGCGGGTTTCCGACACATGTGTGAAGCCGAACGGCCTGCTGGGAATTGTAGTCCTTCGCTGTACACAGCTGTAGGCACAAACCAGCTTTCCATCCCATCTTCTGTTTAACAGGATTATTATTTCTGACCCGCTGTGACGCTTAAATGACAAATAAAACCCGTTCTTACACTTTTTAAAATCTATTTTATTATTTTATTATAAACATTTGTATATGTTTTATCTTTTTGTCTCTGAAGCTTCAGTTTTAAAACGTATCCATTTGATTCAGTATTTCTTTCTAACGTCAGATTATAGATACATATTCTGCCTAAATTAATATCTCATTTGGATGAAACAGTTATTATAACTTAATAAAAGTTATTATCACAGTGTTTTTTTATTCTTAAAACAGAAATCTGTAAGTTATTGATAAAATCCTCAAATTTGTGAATGAAGTTAAGAAAAAGGCGTTTAATTTATTAACCCACCAAAATAAATAATGTTATTATGATAAACATTATTTATAAAATAGGTCTATTTTATCATTATTGTAAATTACTAATAAAAGTCTGAATTAAAAGACAGTAAAAAAGAATAGATATTGATACATTAGCACATTATATAATCTCTCTTAAACAACTCGTTAAATTCTTTTAATATTTTTCTTGTTTAAATCAGTTGGTTTTTTCCTGCAGGGGGCGACAACAGGTCAGCTGCCGAATAACAGCAGCAGAAGAAGACGAGTGAAAGGTCACAGAGCGTGAAGGAGCGAGGCAGCTGCAGGTATCTGACAAATACTAACACCACATACAGAACTAACACAGTATAGTATTCACAGTACACACACTCACACACACAGACACAGGTCCTTAATACTGCATCCATCAGCCTGTAGTTCAGCGGTCTGTGTCTGACTTTATTTGATTCCAACCTTCATTCAGAATCTGACTTAATGATTCTCTTGTTTTCGGTAAAAACTCCGAACAAACTTTGAATAGTATTTAGAATCCGGACAGTCTGCTGTGACGTCAGCAAACACCTGCTCCACCACAAAGCTCAGGTTAAAACAGAGTGTGCTGCAGGATTCAGTGTGTGCTGGAGGAAGATTTCACCATCTCTAACAGCATATGGTTTGTATTTCTGTTAAAATAAGAGCAGCCAGAGTGGTTCAGTGAGCGCCGAAATGACAACTGGAAACTTAAGATTCAGATATTAACCTGAAATTACTTAATAATGAGTAAACAATGCTATAAAAACAAAACAAAATGTAAAATACTAGATTTTTAAAGGGGGTTCGGCACTGTTGTCTCTCCACACATGGACACTTAACTCCCGTTGCTTATAAAAGCGAACAGTTTCCCTCCGTTTCCAGTCTTTGTGCTAAGCTAGGCTATCAGTTTCCCTCTGCCTCCAGTCTTTGTGCTAAGCTAGGCTAACAGTTTCCCTCTGCTTCCAGTCTTTGTGCTAAGCTAGGCTAACAGTTTCCCTCTGCTTCCAGTCTTTGTGCTAAGCTAGGCTAACAGTTTCCCTCTGTCTCCAGACATTGTGCTAAGCTAGACTAACAGTTTCCTGTCTGTCTGTCTGTCTCTGGGCTAACAGTTTCCCTCTGTCTCCAGACATTGTGCTAAGCTAGGCTAACAGTTTCCTTCTGCCTCCAGTCATTGTGCTAAGCTGGGCTAACAGTTTCCTTCTGCCTCCAGTCATTGTGCTAAGCTGGGCTAACAGTTTCCCTCTGTCTCCAGACATTGTGCTAAGCTAGGCTAACAGTTTCCTTCTGCCTCCAGTCTTTGTGCTAAGCTAGGTTAACAGTTTCCCTCTGCCTCCAGTCTTTGTGCTAAGCTAGGCTAACAGTTTCCCCTCTGCTTTCAATCAGGTGCTAAGCTAGGCTAACAGTTTCCCTCTGCCTCCAGTCTTTGTGCTAAGCTAGGCTAACAGTTTCCCTCTGCCTCCAGTCTTTGTGCTAAGCTAGGCTAACAGACCATGCTGAGACCTGTGAAGATCCTCCTCTCTACAACATGTCTGGCCACTCGCTGCTGTTCAGGCTTTGTCTCCAGGATAAGGTTCAGTAACTCAGAGAGACTTTGATTTATTTATTGGTTGATTGATAGACTGATAAATCATCTGACTGACTGACCCGTTCTCTCAGGTACATGAACAGGCTGAAGGAGGATGATGACTCGTGCGCCGCAGCTCTACCGAACGCTCACATGTTCCTGTTCCACCGTCTGTCTCCTTTGCTGCAACGCACCGAGCAGGGAACCTTCAGACCTGCAGCACTGATCACCTCAGGTACAGAACCTCAGGTCCTCAGGTACAGAACCTCAGGGACAGAACCACGTGTAGGGAACTTAAGCCACAGGTAGATAACTTAAACTACAGAGCCTAAGGTACAGAACCAAAGATACAGAACCCTGCAACTTCAAATACAGAACCAAGGGATGAGAGCCACAGTTAGAGAACCAGAGATACAGAGCCACAGGTGGAGAACCTCAAGTACAGAGAGCTGAAAGCCACAAGTAGAGAACTTCATCTGCTGAACCACAGTTAGAGGACCAAGGGAACAGTAACAGCTCGAGAGTCCCAAGAGGAGAACATTAGGTACAGAACCAAAGATAAAGAACCACGGGCAGAGAACTGTGGGCCACAGTTGAAAAACCAATAGATGAGAACCAGGAGAACCACTGCAGGTAACTAAAGTCAGAGAGTCACAGAGAGAAAAATTGAAAAGAAGACATGAGAACCTCGTAGAGCCTCAACCAGAGAACTTGGGGCATAAAAAGTCCTGATCTCTGTTTTGTGTTCTAGATGTGCAGTCGATCCTGGAGAGACTGGGTTCTGACAGAGCCCTGCTGAAGGAGTCGGTTCTGATCGGCTGCTCTGAACAGAACCAAGCTCAGTTCTGTCTGGACGTCGGTAAGAACACATCAGTGAACTCAGAGTCCCTAAATACACCAGTCAGTAGGTTCTGCATGTTCTGGTCTGGGTTCTAGGAGAACTGGATCAGGCAGCAGTAGAAGAAGAGTGTGGAGGAAACTTCATCGACTTGAGGAAGGCGTTCTTTCTTCTTACTGGAGCAGAGGTGCCTCTGGTGGCCAAGGTGGGTAACTACACCTGAACCAATATGTTCCTGTGAAGTAAGACTCAGATCCTGACCCGGGTTCTGGGTCTGTTCCTTCAGGGTCAGGCTCTGCTGCACTGGCATCAAACCAACAGGTTCTGCAGTGCCACGGGTCTGCCGACCAAACGCAACCAGGCAGGAAGTCAGAGAGTCTGCAGCAGCTCTGGCATCATCTACTATCCCAAGGTAACAACTACAGACCAGGTCTGAACCATCCTCTTGCCTTGATGTAATGTGGTGCCTATGTGGTTCCAGTCTGGACCTGGTCTCTGAATGGTTTGTCCTGGTCTTCCTGCAGATGTCTCTGGTGGTGATCGTCCTGGTGTCTGATGGGAAACGGTGTTTGTTAGGCCGACAGTCGTCTTTCCCTCGAGGGATGTACAGCGCTCTGGCTGGCTTCTGTGACATGGGTCGGTCCAACCTGTCTACAGACTTACCTGTCTAATCACCTGTCTACAGACTCACTTGTCTAATAACCTATCTACAGTCTCACCTGTCTATAGACTTACCTGTCTAATAACCTGTCTACAGTCTCACCTGTCCACCTGTCTCTCTGTGTGTGTTCCAGGTGAGACAGTGGAGGAGGCTCTGAGCAGGGAGGTGGCGGAGGAGGTGGGTCTGGAGGTCCACAGTGTCTCCTACAGTTCCTCGCAGCACTGGCCTTTTCCACATAGCTCCTTCATGATTGCCTGCCACGCCTCTGTTAACCCCGCCCACTCCCAGGTGAGTTCTGACACTGAGATTTTACAGAGGAAACTTTTGAGGAGGAAATGAAGGACTCATTGAAGCTGTTTTATAAGTTCATTTTTTTCTTTTTCACAGTGAGTTAAGGTGTTTTAATGTTTTAATTACATTTTAAGGTTACTGTGCATTTCCTCTTAAATTTAAGGAGGTATGAAGCAGATCAAAGTTAACAGTTATTAACCCTTAACCTTTTACCAAAAGTTTGAAAGCCACCTAACAACTGCCTTAATGTTTTCCCTTAAGGTGAAAACTCAAGGATGTCTCTAACAGAGCATTTAAAGGCATTTTTTTAAGGTTTTACATCTTAAAAAATGATGATGATGAAGGTTTTACACCTTAAAAAACCCTGAACAGAAAAGCCATTAATTAATTTAAAGCAAAGTCATGAACCCATTAAAATCTATTCAGATTCTTAATTAAGGGCTTTTAAAATTAAGTACAAGAAATTTAGTAAAATTATGGTGTGTTAAAGGGTTTAGTGCTGGACCTTTGAGAATCCCTTGAATATAATAAAAACACCTTAAATTGATCATTAATGGAGTTGGGACAAATATTAAAGATGAATATTTGAATTAAGAGCAAAGTTAAGTCCTCTTTGCATTTGACTTAATTTGTCGATTAAGGGCTTTTTAAAATTAAGTTTGTTTTTGTTTTTTTAATTCATGGACAAGTAAAGTTAAGGGTTTTCATGGAAACAGAGCGTAGAACCCCTGATCAGTGTAGAACAGCAGAGGACCGAGCGTGGAGCCCTGAGGAACACCAGGTGAGACCACCTGTTGTCTTCAGTCATGTGACCTGCTGTCCTGTTTGTCCTCCAGTTGGACGTGGACCACTCAGAGCTGGAGGATGCTCGCTGGTTCAGTCTGGAGGAAATCACCACCGCCCTGCAGGTGAAGACTCCGCCGAGGAGGGGCGATGCCCCCGTCCTCTGGCTACCTCCAAAACATGCCGTTGCCCACCGCCTCATCACAGAGTGGACTGACTGCCAGAGACGCCGCAATGAGGGAGACTAACGTCTAACCTGAAGACGTAGAGGAGATAATAACAAACCCTACATCCACAATTGGTCCACGCTGAGTGTCCTCAGTCCTCATCCAGAGTTCTCAGAGTCCAGAGGGACAGGTGTAAAAACAGGAAGTTAGTGACTGCAGCAGAGACACACAAATGATGGAGAAGATGAAGACCCAAACTGACTCCTCCTCCTTCATCACTCAGTGTCTCTGACATCCATCCAGGACAGATGTCCATTAATCAGCTGAGACATCAGAGACAAATCAGTCATCA